GAGCGAGCCTTGGACAAGTAACAACACCCTTTTTTAACCCACACCACGTAGGCGGCAAGATAATTTGAACGTCATGATGTGGCTTTGGGTAGGCTTTTAATTTGGGGTTTGTGTGTGATGTCTGCCACTGGTGGTCCGGGGGGACAGCGCTCGTTGGAGGCAGGGCCTGGGAATGAAGGAAAAAGGCTGTCCTTTGAATTGCTAGTTGAATCCTACTAAATTCCTGGATCCTCAGTGCAAGAAACACTCGATCTTGGTGATCTTCGTGTGGAGTATCACACTCTTTTGTTTGCAAGCTCTTTGTATGTGAAAGTTTCTTCTTTGTCCACTATTGCTCCATTGAGTAACTTCTTCTTTAAGTCTTGACCTTCAAAAAGCTTTTGAGTTTAATCTTTCTTGGTGGCAGCCATGAAGACTGCAACTTTATACATTAAAAACGCAGCCGCCCATCCCATTAGCAAGTTCCCTGTCCTGGAGTATGACAGAGCCTTTGATCGAGCAAAAGCAGTACGAAAGGTTTCCGAATGTAGTCTCATCTTTGGCAATCCGATCCACCACCCCTTCCATTGAGAGCAAGTAAACAAACCCAATACCTCCACCCAGTATCAGTCTAGAGCTTACTTTCATATTATTCGTTTGTAGTTTCATCACGTTCTCTTATCAGGTGTGACCAGTCTGGAGCTTGCATTCACAGTTCCATAGTTCACATTCAAATCATGCAACATTTTCTCGCCGATTGGGTGTGTTTTCATGTGAGTTGCTTAAGCTTTATGGTTTGTTTTATTGATATGGTAAACTAGCCAAACTAAACTATCTCCCACCAAACTAGCCTTCGAGCACGTTGTCAAAGGTTGGAATCCAGCAAACTTCATATGCAACTCACGGCAGCAAGAAAAAGCAGCGATCAAGGAAACTACCTCACACCAAGCCGATGCTCTACACAGGAACATCGATATACCCGGTCCACCTGGGCAAGTCTTCAGTGAACATCTTCAATCGAGTCGTTTGCAAAGCTCTTTGTCAAAAGCTAATGTGTCTTTGGCAAGTGTCTTCCGCAACTCTTAGATGAACGTCTTCAATCGACTGACCCCGCGGAAATCTCACTCTTCTGAAGCCAAGATCAACACACATACAGAGAAGCTCTTCTACAAGATCGACAATGGGAAGAGATTCTACAAGATCGACCTGGGATCAACCTGGGATCGACCTCAAGAAAGACAAATACATGAAGATCTCAAGACAGAAACCAGAGGCTTGATCACACCCTCCTCTTCATTCTCTACCTTGCTCGATCACGGCACTTCTTGATCGCGGCAACCTCGAACGTCTCCACAAGATGTGGAGATGGTTTTCCTGCCCGAGACCATAGCCACGGCACCCACTTCTTCGCATTGTAGAGCTGAATACCAACAGGCCAAGACTTATCCTGATGATAAAAGTACAGAGCCTTCAGATTTACCTGAGTTAACTGGAAGAATACTGGCTATGCAAGCTTGCTCTAATAGCTTTCCCCACAATGACAGTCTCAGGGATTCATCTTGATCTACAATCCCACAAGCAATTTACTGTACAACTTACCATCAACTTAACATACAAAAAAAATCATGTTACTAGGGCTTAGCTGATTAAACACCGACATGCCTGATCACGGTGCGGTCATTTCTTGAATCCCAAATAGTCGGGAAACCGGCCGTGATTGATCAAGTTATGCAAAGTCTGGAATCAGAGGGCTACGAGTTTGTGGGGGAGTTGAAAGATCTCACATACGACGAAGTGATCCAGCTACTAAGGGTGCCTGTCTTTGCTGCTAAGAAGCTTGAGCAAAGTGCCAGGTATGTCTTCTCTCGCTTCGTTTTTTTCCTCCAGATCTGATACTAACTTTGTTTTGTTTGAATGTTGCAGTGCCCCATGGAATAGGTGAGCAATTGCGAAAGCCCTTTGTTTCCTTGCATATCCCCCTTGTTTTCTCTTTGATCTGTGCATGCATCCATGTCGGAAGTCCCATTTTTTGTCCAGTTCTTGGTATTCCTGGTGCGCCAGCAAGGTCTTGCTTCTGATGGTGTCGCTGTTGGATTTGGTCTTGGGTGCTTGTGTCTGGCCTGTGGTTGTAATTGAATTCATGGCCATCTGCTTGGTATGTGGCCCCTTGCGTTCTATTAATGCTGTCTGTGTCTTTTTCGGCTTAGAGCTCTTCTCTCTGGGATGACTGTTTTGCAGTCGTTTGAAGTTTTCCTGCCTCACACTAGAGTTTGCTCAGTTCTCCTCACAGAGCGGTATTTGCCTGCTTGTAGCAGTTCTTGTCTGATCCGTGCATTCGTATCTTGCTTCAGGTGTACCAGCTGGAGATTATCGCCAACCTTTCCTGCTATGGAAACGAAAGGAGTATGCGAGTCTAGAATAAAAAATCCGCTCAACAACTTCACTTCTTTCATCGTCCTGATAGGGAAAACGTTCTTTGGCTAATTTGCGAAGGCGTTGCTGAAGGTCGTTATGACGTGAGTGACCAAATTATATGCGAAATGCTGGACGATCCGTCAAAGTGGCTAGAAGTAGATGGGAAGCAGAAGACGCAAATTGACAGACTTCGCAGCTGTCAATTTGCAGAAGAAAAACTACGATGATTATTTTATATGATTATACGCAAGGGGGGACTTTGTTGCATGTTTTATATGTGGGTGTGGTCTAGGGAGGAGATTGGGAAATTCCTTGACGACTTTGAGCCTTACCGAACTAGTTACGAGAACATGAATGTGGTGGACAGAAAGGAAGGGCTTGACAACTTGTGATTATTTGGGTGGTGTTCCTAGGTATGTACTGCGTGCAACAAAGCTGGATGAGGGGAAGGCCAGGGCCAGAGCTGCGGTTGTGTTGTTCGGATCAAGTGCATCCAAAGTGGCTACGGTTTTGTCAGGAGGGTATGTGAAAAAAGTCAGCGACTGCATTTTGCACATCGTGGCAACTGAGGATCACAGCGAAAAGACATATCAGTTCGCAAGCGAGGCTTTGATGACAAAGCTTGGGAATCAGTATCTGCTTGCTGGAGCTGTGCGTGTGGTGGAATTCTGAAAGAAATATTCAGCTGCTCTTGGGTGGGGGCTTTGTGGGGGAGGCTCTATGAACCTCTTGTGCATAGGCTGCTGTTGAAGGGTGGTGTTTTTGTTATCAAGCCAGTTTACGATGATGGAAGCTCCGGTCCTGAGACTTCCCATCATACTGGACCTCATATCATGCTGGAGGCAAGTTCTGCTGGGATGGGCAAGTACGTGAAACCAACTTCTGAAGTCTTTCCAAGCATTGATTCTAGTATGGATGAGACTGGATGGAAAACACAGCTTTAAAGTGAGTGGCTTAGAAATGGTGGATGCTGCGTTGAAGAGATCAAGCTACAGGTTGTGGTCGTGTGTTCCAAAAGAGACGTTTCCAGGAACTGGATGGCAGCAATACAAGAATAATAAAGATGGAGTCTATGGGAAAAGAAATGCAGTATTTGGGAAGATGTGCCAGTTTGTTGTTCAAGTGGACTACGAGGACGCACAATGAAGCTTCTGTTTTTTTATATATATACTTACAATATAAATTTCTCAGTAAATCAAAGTTTTTAATACAATATGTTCGTTATTTTAATAATATATACTACTCATTTAAGTTTTTTTTAAAACCGATGTTTGATATTAATAATAGATAAATTGATAACAGTTGAGATATTTGAGCAAAGATTTATATGATTTAGCAGTTGATAAAATATTCAAATGAATCCAAGTGTAACAACTTAAATTGACCGAAGTATAACTGCTGATGAGGATAAATTAAATTACCCACGCTAATCATCCTCTCCAGCGCAATCATGAGCATAGCACAGCACCTGTCTTCTTCCTTGTGGTGGGCTCTATTTGTCTTATATATCTTAAAGTGTTCCGGAATTATGTGCCTTAACAATATTTTCTTGATAAAAGAAGCTTCACACGTATCCACTTAGTAAATTGGAAAAGCAATTGATTTAGGAATTTGTAAATTTATAATTCTCAGCCTTAGAAAAAAGAGTTTGGTGGAAGGCTTTGGCCTAATGCACTTTTTGTATTAGATTAATAAAATGGCAAATAAAGTATAGCATTATTTTGATAAGATTTAAAAGAAGTCTAGTTAATGAGAAGTAAACTAAGAGTTTATGAATGACTGTTTGCTTTGTACATGCTTCCCTAGCAGACTATGGTTTTAGCGCAGTCTTTGCTGCTGCAAGTCTTGGCGACTTGCGAGGTGTGATCGTGCCGTAAATTTCTTGTTTCGTTCGTCGGTTCTTTTACGAGAAACGATTTCTGAAGCTGTAAGATTGTGTAAACACCAATTTGAAATACTATATATGTGTCACGATTACCGCTCTGCAAAGGGAACACGCACCTTTTCTTCCTCTTTCTCCACGTACTCGAGAAAAGCCTCAAATCGTTCGTCAGGTTCCTTGAGAAGCCATTTGTAATACGTCTCTCTGTCCTCAAAATTCTCCCGTGCAACATCAGTCATACTTCGGCCGATGTGGAATGCCCAGCCCTGGAGAGGCGCAGCAGCAGCATGATTTTCCTGAGCATCTCCCAGTAATAGCTTGTCCACGCAATCCCGAAATGCCTTGATGCTATCCTCGTTTCTCGCCGACGCGAACGGCGCCGTCCCAGCTCTCCCCAGCACACTCGTCGACGCCCCAGACGCGAGCGAATCCAAGAAGGTGAATGCCCACATTGTGTTGCTGCTGCTTACCATGGCCAAGATCCTGCGCACCAAGCTCTCAAACCACAGCCATAGCTGCGCACTTGCCCGATCAAATGCCGCCACCACCACTCGCTCCACCTCCATTCTGCCCTAGCATACTCCACCAAGGAGCAAGCAATAGAAAATTTCGTACAAAACTGTAAAATAGAAGCCGCTTAAACAAACAAAAGTGTGGCTGAGTTTTCGCTTTTTGTCTCTTTTGTTTATAATTGAGTTAGTGGTCTAAAACATCAGACCGTCGGATGAAGATCGTGCGGTCCCTGACGATTCTAGGGCGCCACTGCCTTCCTATAAGAGGGTTTCAAGATAGGGTTTCAGCTAGCAAAATGGACGCGGAATTGGCTAAGGTGCAGGCTGAGAAAAGATTCCCCAGCCGCTTGGATCTGCGGCTCAAGAAGCGCGATTTCTCTGCCCTTCAGAGTGGCAATCAATGTCTGGCGGAAAAAAAGAAAGCGCAGCTGCGGAAGGAGGAAGGGCAGCTGCGGAAGAAGGAAGAACGGGAACGGCTGCGGGAGGAAAACCTCCTCCTCCTCAGAAGTAATGGTAAGTCATTCTTTGTGTCGATTTGGGGCGTTTTGCTGGTGTCGTGGGGCTATGCTGCTGGCGGACGCATACTCCCTTGTGGATCCTTGGTCATCCTTGTATGGCTATGGCTGTTGAGACCCTTGATTCTGGCCATGTTTTCTATTGATAGTTTTTCTTCCAGATCTAATACCAACTTTGTTATGTTCTGAATGTTGCAGTGCCCCATGGAATCCACGGATCTGGTAAGCAATTGTGAAAGCCCTTTGTTTCCTTGCATATCCCCCTTGTTTTCTCTTTGATCTGTGATGTTGAAAGTCCCATTTTTTGTCCAGTTCTTGGTATTCCTGGTGCGCCATGAAATCGGGCACAAGGTCTTGCTTCTGATGGTGTCGCTGTTGGATTTGGTCTTGGGTGCTTGTGTCTGGCTTGTGGTTGTAATTGAATTCATGGCATCTGCTTGGTATGTGGCCCCTTGCGTTCTATTAATACTGTCTGTGTCTTCTTCGGCTTAGAGCTCTTCCCTCTGGGATGACTGTTTTGCCGTCGTTTGAAGTTTTCCTGCCTCACACTAGAGTTTGCTCAGTTCTCCTCACAGAGCGGTATCTGCCTGCTTGTAGCAGTTCTTGTCTGATCCGTGCATTCGTATCTTGCTTCAGGTGTACCAGCTGGTGTGGCGGCCCTTGCAAGGGCTACTGACACTCCAGATTCTAAATTCTGGATTCTAGATAGCGATGCACTGGGAGATTATGGCCAACCTTTCCTGCTTTGGAAACGAAAGGCGTATGCGAGTCTAGAATCAAAAATCGTGGAGCGGCTCAACAACTTCACTTCTTTCATCGTCCTAGGCACTGCAGGGATAGGGAAAACGTTCTTTGGCTACCACTGGATTATTAGGCTGGGCCAAATGGGGCATGAAAAGGTGCTATACAAGGATGGGAAGTTTGTCTACATCCTGAATTTGCGAAGGCGGTGTGCTGAAGGTCGTTATGACGTGAGTGACCAAATTATATGCGAAATGCTGGACGATCCGTCGATGTGGCTAGTGATAAATGAGAAGCAGAAGACGCCTTTCCCTCGCAGATGTCGAGTTCTTTTGGTTCCCTCATCTAGGGAGAAAAACTACAATGAGTTTGGCAAGGGGGGGCTTTGTTGCATGCTTTATATGTCGGTGTGGTCTAGGGAGGAGATTGGGAAATTCCTTGACGACTTTGAGCCTTACCGAACTAGTTACGGGAACATGAATGTGGTGGACAGAAAGGAAGGGTTTGACAACTTCGATTATTTGGGTGGAGTTCCTAGGTATGTACTGCGTGCAACAAAGCTGAATGAGGGGAAGGCCATGGCCAAGACTGCGGTTGTGTTGTTCGGAACAAGTGTATCCAGAGCGGGCACGGTTTTGTCAGGAGGGTACGTGGAAGACGTCAGCGACTGGATTCTGCACATTGTGGCAACTGAGGACCACGGCGAAAAGACATATCAGTTTGCAAGCGAGGCTTTGATAACAGAGCTTGGGAATCAGTATCTGCTTGCTGGACCTGTGCGTGTGGTGGAATTTCTGAAAGAAACATTCAGCTGCTCTTGGGTGGGGGCTTTGTGGGGGAGGCTTTATGAACCTCTTGTGCATAGGCTGCTGTTGAAGGGTGGTGATTTTGTTATCAAGCCAGTTTACGCTGATGGAAGCTCCGGTCCTGAGACTTCCCATCATATTGGACCTCATATCATGCTAGAGGCAAGTTCTGCTGGTGAGTTTCAAGGAAAGATAGGGATGGGCAAGTATGTGAAACCAACTTCTGAAGTCTTTCCGAGCATTGATTCTGCTATGGATAAAGACATTCTCATTCAGGTCTTCAAGAGACTGGATGGAAAACACGGCTTTAAAGCGAGTGACTTAGAAATGGTGGATGCTGCGTTGAAGAGATCAAGCTACAGGTTGTGGTCGTGTGTTCCGAAAGAGACGTTTCCAGGAACAGGATGGCAGCAATACAAGAATAATAAAGATGGAGTCTATGGGAAAAGAAATGCAGTATTTGGGAAGAGGCGCCAGTTTGTTGTTCAAGTGGACTACGAGGATGCACAAATTGCAAAAGGATGGAAGAAGAGTCCAAAGATCAAGCTCCGGAGAATGAAAAGAAAACGAAGCAAGCGTACCTTTACAGCTTCAGAAATAGTTTCTCGGACGAACGAAACAAGAAATTTACGGCACGATCACATCTCGCAAGTTGCCAAGACTTGTAGCAGCAAAGACTGCGCTAAAAACATAGTCTGCTGAATCCAGGGAAGCATGTACAAAGCAAAAAGTCATTCATAAACTCTTAGTTTACTTCTCATTAACTAGACTTCAATCACTTTGATTATGTGCTTTAAAGCTTATCAAAATAATGCTATACTGTGTTTGCCATTTTACTAATCTAATACAAAAAGTGCATTAGGCTGATGGCAAAGCCTTTACAAATTCCTTGCTAGATATATAAGACATATAGCGCCCACCACAAGGAAGAAGGCAGGTGCTGTGCTATGCTCATGATTGCGCTGGAGAGGGTGATTAGCGTGGTATTTAAATTATCCTCATCAGCAGTTATACTTCAATTTAAGTTGTTACACTTGGATTCATTTGAATATTTTATCAAATGCTAATCAACACCAGTTTTAAAAATAACTTAAATGAGTAGTATATATTATTAGAATAACGAACATATTGTATTAAAAACTTTGATTTACTGAGAAATTTATATTGTAAGTATATATATAAAAAAACAGAATGTCACGGTTACCGCTCTGCAAAGGGAAGGAAAAAACCACGCACCTTTTCTTCCTCTTTCTCCACGTACTCGAGAAAAGCCTCAAATCGTTCGTCAGGTTCCTTGAAAAGCCATTTCTAATACGTCTCTCTGTCCTCAAAATTCTCCCGCACAACATCAGTCATACTTTGGCCGATGTGGAATGCCCAGCCATGGCGAGGAGCAGCAGCAGCGTGATCTTCCTGAGCATCTCCCAGTAATAGCTTGTCCACGCAATCCCGGAATGCCTTGATGCTACGCTCGTTTCTCGCCGACGCGAACAGCACCGTCCCAGCTCTCCCCAGCACACTCGTCGACGCCCCAGATGCGAGCGAATCCAAGAAGGTGAATGCCCACATTGTGTTGCTGCTGCTTACCATGGCCAAGATCCTGCGCACCAAGCTCTCCAACGCATGCTGCACGTCCACCACCACTCGCTCCACCTCCATTCTGCCCTAGCACACTCCACCAAGGAGCAAGCAATAGATAAGTTCGTACAAAACTGTAAAATAGAAGCCGCTTAAACAAACAAAACCTGTGTTTATAATTGAATTAGTGGTCTAAAACACCAGGCCGTCGGATGAAGATCATGCGGTCCCTGACGTTTCTAGGGCGCCACTGCCTCCATATAAGATGGTTTCAAGATAGGGTTTCAGCTAGCCAAATGGACGAGGAATTGGCTAAGGTGGAAGCTCAAATCGGGCTTCTTGAGCCGCAGATCCAAGCGGCTGGGGAATCTTTTCTCTCTGCCCTTCAGAGTGGCAATCGATCTCTGGCAAAATATTGGCGGAAGAAGGAAGAGCAGCTGCGGAATGAGAAAGAGCGGCTGCGGAAGGAGGAAGAACAGCTGCGGGAGGAAAACCTCCTCCTCCTCAGAAGTAATGGTAAGTATTTAGCTTTCCCCCTCGATTTGCGGCGTTTTGCTGTGTAGAGGTAGCTTCAATTCGCTTTTATTTTGGGTTGCCGGAAGTGTGGCTATGGTGGCTTTTGGCTTTGCTGCTGGCGGACGCATACTCCCTTGTGGATCCTTGGTCATCCTTGTATGGCTATGGCTGTTGAGACCCTCGATTCTGGCCATGTTTTCTATTGATAATACTAACTTTGTTATGTTCTGAATGTTGCAGTGCCCCATGGAATCCGCCGATTTGGTAAGCAATTGTGAAAGCCCTTTGTTTCCTTGCATATCCCCCTTGTTTTCTCTTTGATCTGTGATGTTGAAAGTCCCATTTTTTGTCCAGTTCTTGGTATTCCTGGTGCGCCATTAAATCGGGCGCAAGGTCTTGCTTCTGATGGTGTCGCTGTTGGATTTGCTCTTGGGTGCTTGTGTCTGGCTTGTGGTTGTAATTGAATTCATGACCATCTGCTTGGTATGTGGCCCCTTGCGTTCTGTCTGTGTCTTCCTCGGCTTAGAGCTCTTCCCTCTGGGATGACTGTTTTGCCGTCGTTTGAAGTTTTCCTGCCTCACACTAGAGTTTGCTCAGTTCTCACAGAGCGGTATTTGCCTGCTTGTAGCAGTTCTTGTCTGATCCGTGCATTCGTATCTTGCTTCAGGTGTACCAGCTGGTGTGGCGGCCCTTGTAAGGGCTACTGATACTCCAGATTCTAAATTCTGGATTCTAGATAGCGATGATTATGGCCAACCTTTCCTGCTATGGAAACGAAAGGCGTATGCGAGTCTAGAATCAAAAATCGTGGAGCGGCTCAACAACTTCACTTCTTTCATCGTCCTAGGCACTGCAGGGATAGGGAAAACGTTCTTTGGCTACCACTGGATTATTAGGCTGGGCCAAATGGGGCATGAAAAGGTGCTATACAAGGATGGGAAGTTTGTCTACATCCTGAATTTGCGAAGGCGGTGTGCTGAAGGTCGTTATGACGTGAGTGACCAAATTATATGCGAAATGCTGGACGATCCGTCGATGTGGCTAGTGATAAATGAGAAGCAGAAGACGCCTTTCCCTCGCAGATGTCGAGTTCTTTTGGTTCCCTCATCTAGGGAGAAAAACTACAATGAGTTTGGCAAGGGGGGGCTTTGTTGCATGCTTTATATGTCGGTGTGGTCCAGGGAGGAGATTGGGAAATTCCTTGACGACTTTGAGCCTTACCGAACTAGTTACGGGAACATGAATGTGGTGGACAGAAAGGAAGGGCTTGACAACTTCGATTATTTGGGTGGAGTTCCTAGGTATGTACTGCGTGCAAGAAAGCTGGATGAGGGGAAGGCCATGGCCAAGACTGCGGTTGTGTTGTTCGGATCAAGTTTATCCAAAGCGGGCAGGGTTTTGTCAGGACGGTACGTGAAAAACGTCAGCGACTGGATTCTGCACATTGTGGCAACTGAGGACCACAGCGAAAAGACATATCAATTTGCAAGCGAGGCTTTGATGACAGAGCTTGGGAATCAGTATCTGCTTGCTGGAGCTGTACGTGTGGTGGAATTTCTGAAAGAAACATTCAGCTGCTCTTGGGTGGGGGCTTTGTGGGGGAGGCTTTATGAACCTCTTGTGCATAGGCTGCTGTTGAAGGGTGGTGATTTTGTTATCAAGCCAGTTTACGCTGATGGAAGCTCCGGTCCTGAGACTTCCCATCATATTGGACCTCATATCATGCTAGAGGCAAGTTCTGCTGGTGAGTTTCGAGGAAAGATGGGGATGGGCAAGTATGTGAAACCAACTTCTGAAGTCTTTCCGAGCATTGATTCTGCTATGGATAAAGACATTCTCATTCAGGTCTTCAAGAGACTGGATCTGGATGGAAAACACGGCTTTAAAGCGAGTGGCTTAGAAATGGTGGATGCTGCGTTGAAGAGATCAAGCTACAGGTTGTGGTCATGTGTTCCAAGAGAGACGTTTCAAAGAACTGGATGGCAGCAATACAAGAATAATAAAGATGGAGTCTATGGGAAAAGAAATGCAGTATTTGGGAAGATGCGCCAGTTTGTTGTTCAAGTGGACTACGAGGATGCACGATGAAGCTTCTATATATATACTTACAATATAAATTTCTCAGTAAATCAAAGTTTTTAATACAATACTAGGAATTGCCCAGCAAAAAGCTGGTGGGTTGGCAAGGTGAAGTTTTCAAAAAACTTTAAATCTGAGCCAAAAGACAAATACATTGGCCAAAGAGTTTTATGTCACAAGTATTATAGCTTTGAGATTTGAGCATCATGGTTTCCTTGCCAGTATTTATCTTGCAGAAGGAAAAACCAGAAAAGAAAATAAAATTGTTAAGTTCAAAGCATAAGAAAGTGAAAAGACACCACAAAGTATCTCGAAAATCAAATCAGGAAAAAAACGAAAACAGGAAGAAAAAACACTGAGTTGAAGAGTTTGAGAAGAAGATGCCCATAGTGCTAAAACTGATGCAATGCACCATACTAATCATTGTGTTATGTGATGTTTTGTTTTTCTTTTCTTGTTGAATAACAAAGGAAAAACTTTTGGTGAGATTTTTTTTACTTCCACAAGATGGAAGCATGATACCTATTTCCAATTGGAGCAAATTATCTCAACCTAGAAGCTGCCTAAACCTTCGGAAAGAAGACATGAACATCACTTTGACAGAATTTAAATCCATATTTTTACATATTGTACAGTGTTATGAGCTTGGCGCTGTAGCTTTCTCCACTGCGATGGTGGCCTTTTCTCAATCACTTCCTTCTGCAACACCGGTGGCAGAAATGCTGAGGTGTGACTCTACTGTGAGCTTGAGCTCTAGCATCCTCAGTGTTGATGGTGAACACTACTGAGTTTTTAGTGTTGTCCTTGCTCTTGCTACCACTGTTGTAGTCTTGGCTGTCCTTGGAGTTTGCATCTCATGTGCTGTTCTTGTGGGAGATGGCTGTGTTGCTGAGACAAAAGCATGCTTGTTTCTCAATCACTTCCTCAGACTTGTGCAGTGCAGTGTGAACCACAAACTACTTCTCTTCATCTTTGATCTCCAGGATGTCTTTGATGAAGAAAGCAGAGTTCAGAACCGGGTGATAGAAATAGAGGGCTACCTTGGAAGACTTGGATGGTACCATGCCATCTCCATCCACATACTTGAAATCAGCTTGCGAAGTCCAAGGTTTCTTTCAGTAAGCATGAAGAAAGAACCCCTGCATTACCTTGAGCTCAACTATGAGGCATTTTTTCACTCCCGTAGCTGGAAACAATGGAAAAAAAGTTGCTAATGAAAGTTGGCTATCAAGAACAAAGAACACATACCAGATGTGGAATGGAGTTTTGCATGAACTGCCATAGATGTTGTAGAACTTAAAATCTTTTGAAAGTTTTGCAAAGAACCATAGACAGCAGGACTCATTTGCCCACTTAAGAATGCATCTTATTGAAAGGAATAGGTATGGTCTTATCATCATAGCTCAGCTGCATAGAAAATATTTAATTTATCAGCATAACCAAAGAAAAGAAAAGAGAAGTTGATATATAACTAACCATGTTTTTTTTATGTGCAACTTCCATCTCAAAAACACACTCGATAGGTCCAT